TTTTTTTCTTTTAAATAAATTAATGAATGTACTATTGGAGAAACTAGTACTGTAAGATATTTTTGTTGTGTGTAGAGTCCAGTAAAAAACCTAAGGATGATACCTGTACTTTAAATATAGATTATTAATATCTTTATAAATGTTGAGTTATTCTAAATTTTGTGTTTGTAAAGTTGCTGAAATTTGCTGACTGAAAGAGCAGCAATTCAATTTCTTGTTGGCTTTATGGTTCCAGAACAACAGGTAGTTTTATTTTAGTAAGTTGCCACTTTGGGCTAATTATAGTGAGTAAAATATGAGCAGTCTATAAAAATATTGCCATAGATGCTTTCTTTTTCCTGCCTGCGGGTGCCTTTTTGTTTCTGGGAAGCATAGTTCTAAGAATGTCTAAAAATGACTAATGTTCTTACCTCCTAAAGATTTTGTTTCGTAATCTCATTGGCCGGAAGCCTATTTAAAATTCTCCTCTACGTTTACTGGTTTTCAGTTCATTTTTTTCCCCTTTGCTCTAACTGTGCCCTGCACATTTTTTATGTGAGAGCATTTATGAAGCCTCAGACTGTTACTGAATCAAGATAGTGCTTTTTCCCCCTTGAAGAATATTGATTAGTAAATGTAGTTACATGCAAGTTGTGTATTTTTGTATCTCAGGTGTCTTATAGTAGCTACCATTTGTCTTGGAAAATGGCATATTTCTTTTTTTGGTGACAATTTTGCTACTGAGTTTTATAGTTACTCTTAATGATTTCAGTACTTGAGCTCCCCACCAGCATTTTAATAATAGAAACAGGGAGGAAATTATTAGAATTGACTTTTTATCTTTTGACCCTCAAATGAAAACAAACAAAAAACCTTTGACTTGGGGCAATATTAAGATAAAACTGTGTTAAGGCCCAGTGGAAAAAGGTACATTTTTTAAATTATTTTTTCTTATAAACTCATGATGTTGATCTTCCAAGAATTTGAATACATGCAGATTTTAATAAGAAAACATGTTAAAGTTGTTGTTATAATGATCTTATAGATCGTTAAATGTGTTTGTCAAGATTCTGATTCTAGAAAAAAATTGTGATGTAAGCTGAGTTTTTTTGGTATTTTTGTTTGTTTGCTTTGTCTTTTTCATTCTCAGCCAGTTGTACATTTTATGTTCAGCTAGCTGTGAATAATCACCAATAAGGTATTTATTAATAGAACTGTAAGAAGTTCATTTGTCCAGGGTTTTCTGCATTTAAATAGGAAAAATTTTAAAGATTAAAAAGCCTGTGACACCCTTATTTCATCAATAGAGACTGGAATTTTAAATAACTAAAGCTGTAGGACCTGCACAGTAGACACAGGTCTGACTCCAAGATTAAACAAAATGCCTGCTTTAGAGTTGTTAATTGACAATAAATTCTACTGACAGCCTTTGGGACTGACAAACCATAAAACATTCACCATCTTCCCTGTGATGCAACTTAAATTTTTGTTGTTGGAAAAAAATTCCCAAAATGGTAATCAAATCTAAATGGATGGAGATTTTCTTTTTAAATCAAGTATGGTCAAGTCCATGTAAGGATGTACAAGAAGAACGAAAGTCATTCACAGTGTTGTTTTGTAACTTTTATTTTTTAGTACATCTATAAAACCAAAAGGGACAATTTTAATGTCAAAAGGTATAACATGTTAGGCTTCTTTTTTTGGTCTTTGGCATGGTGGGATATAAACAGCTTGTTCTATGATTCTGTAAGAAACTTATTTTACCTATGCCTTTGTTGCTCTCTCCAATTTTGGTTCAATTGAGCTTATAAAAAAAATGATAAAACCTTACAAATACAAACCAATCGGGAAATAGAATTAGCAAGAAATCTAAACTGAGGACTCTTTTCAAACAAGTACACTTTTACTGCTTTTCTGTATCTGTACCCCTTGAATAAAACCAGGGGTCTTACATGTAATGAATGAGGCAAGCAACCTACGTAGGGACTTTGAAAAAGTCTAGCATGGATGCTGGGTCTGAGGGAAGAGCTCATAATTGGCTCTCCTTAACTATTGCTATGTAAGACTCTGGATCTAATGTCAGATCTTCTTATTTTACAAGGGAAGCTGGAATTCTCTTTTACTTTTGTCGTTGTTGTTAAACCTCTTAATTTTTTTTTTTTTTTTTGGTTTTAATGAAGAGAAGTTTATTTCCTCATAGTCAAAGTAGGCTAAAAGTCCAAATTCAGTGTGTCAGCTCCAGGGGAAGGCTTTCTCTCTCTTGGCCTTCTGGTCAGTGTTCCCCCAGACGAGGAGCTTCTCGGTGCAGGGACCCCTGTCCGGAGGACGTGCTCTGCTCCTGGCACTGCTTTCTTGATGGTATGAGGTCCCCCTGTCTCTCTGCTCACTTCTGTCTTTTATATCTCAAGAGATTGCCTCAGGATGCAATCCAGTCTTGTAGATCAGGTCCTGCCTTACTAACACAACTGCCACCGATCCTCCCTCATTAACATCATAGAGGCAGGTTTACAACATACAGGAAAATCACACAGTACCAGGAATCATGGCCTAGCCAAATTGATACACACATTTTTTGGGGGACATAATTCAAACCATGACATTCTACCCTTTGGCCCCCAAAAAATCACAGCCTTGCAACATGGAAAACATATTCACCCCATCATATCATAGCAAAAGTCTTAACTCCAAGTCCAAAATCCAAAAATTCCTCTTCATCTGTGAAATCTAGAATACAAGTTATCTGCTTCCAAAGGTACAGTGGCAGAACAGGCACAAGCTAGACATTTCCATTACAAATGGGAGAAACTGGAGGGAAAGAAGGGATAACAGGCACCAAGCAAGTCAGCAGAACACATTACATTAGCCCTCAAGGCTTTGAAAATAATCTTCTGTTCTCTGAGACAATTTACACAATGGCTCTGCCCTCCAGACTCTAGGTATTGGCCACAGTCTCTGGATTTTGAGTGGAGGCCCATCAGCCCTGGGCTTCAGCTCCGCCTTTCAGGCCCACTGGGACAGCAGCTCTGCTCCCTTGGCTTTAGGCGCACCATTCTCCTAGTCCATCGGAGCGACAACTCCACCCTTAGAAACACCAGAGGCCATGGCTCCACCCTTTGAAATCCCTGAGGTCATGGCCATACCTTTTGAGACTGAGGCAGCTCAGCTTCTTGTGTCCCTTGTCTCTTCAGCTTCTGCTTCTGTTTCCTGTGGCCTCTTGACCCTCGGGCCTCATGCCGGCATCTGCCCTGCTGGGGCAAGTGTTCCAAAGCTCTGTAGCTCCACTGGTATAAGTGCCTGGAGGCACCCCACTGCGCCAGAAAGCCTTGTGCACACAGACACTCAGCTCTCTCGCTCCATGCGTCGGCTGCAGCACCATCTTGCACTGGTCTCCTGGTTCTGCTGCTGTAGGTCCTCTGGTGCTGCCGGTCCTCTGTCACTGCCGCACGTCTATCCGTTGGACAGTTTTAAAACCCTTCCACATTTTAGGTATCTGTTAGAGCAGCACCCCGTTCTTTTGGTACCAAATTCTTAGTTATCTAGTACTGCCATAACAGAAATACCACAAGTGGATGGTTTTAATGAAGAAAAGTTTATTTCCTCACAGTCAAAGTAGGCTAAAAGTCCAAATTTAGGGTGTCAGCTCCAGGGGAAGTCTTTCTCTGTCGGCCTTCTGGTCAGTGTTCCCCCAGACGAGGAGCTTCTCGGTGCAGGGACCCCTGTCCGGAGGACGTGCTCTGCTCCTGGCACTGCTTTCTTGATGGTATGAGGTCCCCCTAAACTTCTTAATTTTTAAATGTTAAAAATAAATTCAAATTTAAAAGACAGCAAACAAAAGATGTGAGAGCCAGAGCCAGTTTTGACCTCAAGGTATCAATTTGTGATCTCTCTGAACTAGATTAACAATGTTATGTAAGTATATCGCATTGACGCTTCTAAGGTAATTGAAAAAATGTTAAGTACTTTAATTATATGTCTTCTCATCTTGAATTTAGCTATTAATTTTTAGAAAATCATTTAATGATTGTACCAATTTAAATTTCAACTGAGTTCCACTTTAAATTCTGAAAAATTCCAAATTAAAGGAGGTTCTGCATTAATTAGACTTTACTTCTGTGTATAATTTTTTAATGATCCTTTTGATAGATGTTCCCTGAATCCAGATTTGTCATATCCGCTTATATAATATCCAAAGGACCTGTCCCCCAATAATAACTTATAAATTATTTATTGAAAGTGAGGCTTAAAGATAGACTAAACATTGGTAGCCAGTCTGGAGGCACTTGTCTAAAAAAACTCCTCTCTGTGAGATAGAATTATACCCTTTGAGACTGTGATTAAAATAAAAGGGTTACACCTGGAGTTATCACCCCTTTTTTCATACTGGCTTATCTTAATGTTTGCTTACTGGATAGGTGATGTCTTACTGATGATAACCAGATACACAGTATTTGTTCTGTAAATCAAAATTAACGTTTTCCTTTTTTCTAGTAACTTCTGATGTCCTTCTTGACTACCATTCAATTCTCATAATTGTGTTTCCATAGGTTACAGTACTTTCCAGAGCATTTTCTTGTTGACAGTGGCAGACAACTAATCTTTTGAGAATTACTGATAGAAGAACTGTGAACTGAAGTTTCATTCATGCCTTATAGTTACAGTTACCAGTATGGGGAAAGGAACCTGAAGAATCCTTCCTTCTTACAAATCATATATTTGGCTTGTCTTAAGGAGAATGCAGATTTACATATATATTTGGGTGATACACTTGTACTGTCACTCTCAGGGCCAGACAAACTTGATTTTAGTGCTTTCCTTCTTCCCATCTTCGTTTTAGTTATTTCCATCATATTTTTTTTTTAATTTATAAAACTATATTCACAAAAATATTTTTGATAAACTCTCAATGAAATATGGATATCTAAAATTATTTTAATGTATTACATCTCTTAGGAATTTTTGCAACCACAAGAAAAAGGCAAAGGAATGCATTCAGTGGAGTTTATAACATCAGGAACCTGAGGGAGTGTTTTGTTTGTTTTTTAATTTTTAAACAGGAAAGCTGTATCTTCTCAGTACCTTTTGAATTCTAGTATTACCCTGGTGTTATGTTTTGGTGATAAACTCAAGATGCATCCTAATAGCCAAATATTATTATAAAGAATTTTATGTATTAATGTGATTTACCTACATATAATAGCTAATCTTTATTGAGTACTCATTATATGCCACGGACTGTTTTACATCTTTTACATGTAGTAAATTATTTAATCCTTACAGTAATCTATGAAGTAGAAACTATTATTATCCCCATTTCACAGATGAGGAAAATACTATACAGTGTTAGTGGCAGAGCCCCAGTATTCAAATCCCAGGTGGTCTGGCTTTAGAGTTCAAATTCTTAACTGCAGTGCTCTGTTGCCTTTACATAACAATACAGAACACGGATGTGTGTCTATGTATTTTACAGACACACAAACATACACACAAACACATACACATGGACACACACACGGCCTCGGTGGCTCAAGCGGTTAATTGCTTGACTGCTAGCTGAAAGGTTGGTAGTTCAAATGTACCCAAAGGCACATCAGAAGACAGGCCTGGTGATGTTTCTGAAAGGTCACAGCCTTGAAAAGTCTATGGGGCAGTTCTACTCTGCACACATGGGATCACCATGAGTCGGAATCGACTTGGTGGCAACTAACATGTACACATCCATATACGTATACATCAGGAGCTCCGGTGGCGCAGTAGTTAAGTGCTCAGCTGCTAACTGAAAGGTTCATAGTTCTGACTACAGCTCCACAGGAGAAAGATCTATCAGTCTGCTTCTCTAAAGATTGCAGCCTTAGAAACCCTATGGGGCAGTTCTGCTGTGTCCTGTAGGGTCACTGTGCGTCAGAATTGATGGCAACAGGTATACATATATACATATATATAGTCTAATTGTATGTATTTATGTATTTTTCAGTGATATATATGAATAAATATAGTCAGAAGCAGAGTCTGTATAATTACATTCAGTTGAAATCTGAGTCATTCAATTACCTGACAATCCCAGATGTCTGGGTAGTTTGAGGTTATATAGACAAAATGTTTAAGTATTTAACTACAGTATTAACTTTAATTTGATTATATGTGATTATATATACAGAAATAGAAAAAAATATTCTCATCAATAGATAAACATATATCAACACACTTTCTCTGAAACCACACATTCTGTTCGTTCTTTCTTCATTTCAAATCAAAAAGCCCTAACTGAGGTTAGAAGGAAGTAGTGGTATCAGTGTAATCTTCACTGATGCATTTTCAGATACCTTGAAAATTATCTGCTCCTTTGGCAAATTATTTCAGTATCTGGATTCTTTCACTTGCTGCATTTGCCCTAGTTGAATAGGTGGTGGTAACTTTGGCTCAGATACTTTGTTTTTAGGGGAGATTGTCTTTGAAGACAGACATTCGCAATATAAATGAGAGAAAAAGAGCTTATCTGTTATTTCTAGCCTATAAATTCTAATTTTAGTTTAAAGTGTGACACGATAATATGCTTTAAAATACATAAACATTATTGGTTTGTATCACAGATGTGCTTTATGTAATATATTCACAAAAAATTGGAGCAAATACATGACTGTTTTGTGGAGAACAGAGCCGAATATCCAGCACTGATTTGTTATAAGGTAAAAAGGCACTTGTGTGGATTATGATTTTTGTGTTTGTGCTTACTCCTGAGCTTTCACCAAATCTGGTTAGGTTTAATTTCTTTGCATTGTTCATAACAAATTTTAATTTAATCACAAATAGGACTGTAACGCAGTTTTTTTTTTTTTTTAAACATAAAAAGCACCCATTTGTGATTCCTGACATAAAGTTCTTCAGAAGGGAAACTGACTTCTTTTACTTTCTGTCTTTTGCAGTGTACCAGCTGCAACAGGAAGCCCCTCATCCTCGAAGGATAACCTGTACTTGTGAGGTGGGTGTAGTGAAATAGTTATAATGCAATGTCTCTAAATTATCTCTTTCCCAAACTTTGACTTTCCTCAGTGACTTGGTTATTTGTGAGATTATCCATTTGTGCTGGTTGGCATTATAAGATTATAATTTGAACACATTTTTTTTTTTTTTAAATAATCTTCTCACTTGACATAACTGCCACTTTTTAATGGACTGTTTGGAACACAGTATAGAATATAACAATATAGTTTTAAGTGATTTTAGTATTTTTTTCTGTTAATTCATACATTGCTCTTCCATTGCTATTTCATTTTTTATGTTTTATTCTTTATCTTTTAACACAGAGTTTGAAGACTTTGTTGTAGCATTATTAAATTAATTTTTCCATTGGAAAAAAATTTTTCAATCATGATTTTTTTAATGAGCAAAAGAAATGGTTTAACAAAAAAATATGATGTATAACAACATATGAAAAGGTGTTGTTATTAATTAACAACACATATTAATTAAAATATGTGGAGAGACTATTTTTACTTTTAGATTGGTAAAAGTTCCGAAGCTTAAGAACACACTTAGTTGGCAAGCCGGTGAGGAGACAGGCACTCTAATATTTGGGAATGTGAAATGGTACTACTGTTATATTATGGATTGAACTGTGTCCCCCAAAAATGTGTGTTGTAAATCCTAACCCCTATGCCTGTGGTTATAATCCCATTTGGGAAAGGGTTTTCTTCGTTATGGTAAAAGAGCTGATTAAGCAAGCACAAATGAAGGGGAAGATACATGTCACATGTTTGCCAAGGAACCTGGGAATAGAAGCTGAAAAGAGACAAAGACCTACTGCCAGAGAGAGAGCCTTCTTTCCCCTAAAGCCGTCACCCTGAATTCGGACTTCTAGCCTCCTAAACTATGAGAAAATAAATTTCCATTTGTTAAAGCCACCCACTTGTGGTATTTCTGTTACAGCAGCACTAGATAACTAAGACAACTTAACTTCATGAGAATTTGGTAATATCTAACAAAACTATATCTGCATTTATCCAGTCCAGGTTCTAGGAATGTACCACCGTGGTGTAACATATCCTCTTAGTTTTTCATTGTAGCATTATTTCTAATACCAGAGTAATGGAGATAACCTAAAATATCTGTTCATAGGCAACTGGTTGAATAAACTATAATACTAAAAATTAAGGATGATCTCTATGAATCAAATTGGAATGATTTCCCAGTACAAAATATATAGATATTTAGTATAGTCCCTTTTTAGAAGAAAAAAGGGAAAAATTTTTAAAACTATAGCTTATTTTTGCAAAAGAGAAACACAGGAAGGATTAAACCGTAAGGGGAGGGTGGGGAACAGTGTGGAGGACATAGGGATGGGAGTAAGACTTCTCTGAAGATACTTCTTTTTATATAGTTGTGATTTTGTTATGGATTGAATTGTGTCCCCCAAAAATGTGTGTCAACTTGGCAAGGTCATGATTCCCAGTATTGTCTGATTGTCCACCATTTTGACATCTGATGGGATTTTCCTTTGTGTTGTAAATACTACCTCTATGATCTTAATGAGGCAGGATTAGAGGCTGTTGTGTTAATGAGGCAGGACTCAATCTATAAGATGAGATTGTATCTTGAGTCAATCTCTTTTGAGATATAAAAGAAAGAAGAGAGCAGAGAGACAGGGGGACCACATGCCACCAAGAATGAAGAACCAGGAGAAGAACGTGTCCTTTGGACCCAGGGTTCCTGTGCTGAGAAACTCCTAGACCAGGGGAAGATTGATGACAAGGACCTTTCCCCAGAGCAGACAGAGAGAGAAAACCTTCTCCTGGAGCTGGCACACTGAATATGGACTTCTAGCCACCTAGACTGTGAAAGAATAAATTTCTCTTTGTTAAAGCCATCCACTTATGATATTTCTGTTACTGCAACACTAGATGACTAAGACTAATTTTATCCCAGTAACTGTAAGAAGCGAAAGAGTTTTAAGCAGGAGAAAAACATGATCAGATTCAGGCTTGGAAAGAGTATTCTGATGCAACGTGGACTAAGAGGATGGACAGATTAGAGACAAAAAGACTGGTTTAAAGGGCTATTGCAGGAATCCTAGTGAAAAATGATAAAGGCCTAAAGTGAACAGTTGTCCTGGGAGTAGCCAAAGGGTCAGGACATAGGAATATGTAAAGCATTCACATAACTTGGTGCTTACATGGTCATGGGGTTGAATGAGAGGAAGATTTTCAGTTAATTCATACATTGCTCTTCCACTGCTATTTCATTTTTTATGTTTTATTCTTTATCTTTTAACACAAAGTCTACAAGATTTTGGGAAACCAGTCAATTCCCCTGATCTTCTCTCACGTCATACATGCTTGGCAAAACCACAGTTGTGTTTAAATCTACCTCTCTGCCTGCTCTGCCCATACTCCCAAGAAACTGAATATAGCTGGAGAAAAACCAAATGCTGACCAGGCTTTCTGTGAAATGTATGAACTTCAGCTTGTATTCCCTGGTAGTCACACTGTGTCTTCCTAATCATTTCAGCGTTTTCCTCACTCGAAACCTCCGGTACTTCACACCCTCTCCTAATTTCCCCGTGGTAATCTTGTATCCTGCTTTACTCCTGATTGAAGCAATCAGGAGGGAACTTCCATAAACTCCAACCACGACATCTAACCACCTATCAGCATTTGTGTCCATATATTCTGCATTCTTGCTCGTTATCATAGATGATAGCCAGCTCTCCACTGCATAGATCCCGTTTCTTATCTACTCAAGGACATAAATCCTAGCAATTCTCCCCTCTCTTATATCATTGAGTTTTTCTTTGTTTACAGGATCATTTTTATCAGTCCACAAACATCCTGTTATTCTCCCTGTTTTAAAAATTCTCTTGACCCTACTTTCTCCATCCATCCTGCCCAATATCTTTGCTCCCTTTTGTAGAAAATGCCTTGAAAGTGTTGTCTGTATTTGCCACCTCCAATCCTGCTCCTTCCATTTTCCTTTGAACTCATTCCAGTCAGGGTTTTATCCACCACCTACACCAGAACTGCTTTGGCAAGGTCACCAGTGACTTCCACATCACTGAATCTAGCAGCCAGTTTTTCTCCTGCTTATCCTGTCAGCAGCATCTGACACAAGTGATTACTCTCTTCTTGATATACTTCCCTCACTTCATTTGCAAAATACTATGTTCTTTAGGTTTTTCTCCTGCCTTCTCAATCTCCTTTGCTGGTTTCTCTTCTCACTGACCTCTTGAGATTGGAATGCCCTGGGGCTCAGATCTTGATCCTCATTTCTTCTCTACCTACATTTATTCTCTGGTGATCGTAACAGTTTTAGGCATTAATACCACTTATATTTCCAGTTCAGTCCTCTCTTTGAAACTCCGGTTTATATATCCGTTTCCCTGCTCTACATTCCCACTTGTATGTTTGATATTTCAAACATAACACATTCAAAACAGAACTGACCTCCATCCTTCTCCCCTAACCTTCTTTTACCACAGCCTTCTGTATCTCAGTTAATGGCAGCTCCTTACTTACAGTTGCCTATATCAAAAACCGTGGGTCATCCTTGAACTTTTTCTTCTTTTCATTGCCCACAACTAATTCTTCAGGAAATTCTGTTGGGTCTATCTTGAGAGTACATAGAGAATCCTACCACTTCTTAATATCTCCGTGGCTATCACTCAGGGTCAGCTTATGGTGGAAACTGATAGATACTCACCAAAATCCATTATTCCATTCTTTGAAACATGACTAGACTAAATTTCTTGTACATAGTTATATCCATGTGACAGAATTTTCTCTTGTGGAACAGAAGTAACCTTGAATGACAGACCCATTGAAACTTTCCATGTAAGCTCCTCCCTGTTACTTCCTTTTCTGCCTAAATTCAGATGAAAATAAGTAGATCTCCTCAAGATGATTACGGACCTATAGGATGGAAGGTATCTGGGTCCCTAAATGACTTCATGGAGGACGATTGTCTTCCTAACATTAATACCTACCCAGGAATTTTATGTAAGTAATAAATAAACTTCTGTTATATCTAGTTATATATTTGAATCTCTTTGTTATAGTAAATTATTCTACCCTAAAACACAGTAATCTCTTACCAGTATAACTGAAGTAGTCTTTTAACTGATCTTTCTCTTCATAGTCTGTTCTCAGTACAGAGTGATCTTTTTAAGATCATGTCACTCCTCTGTTCAAAACTCTACATTGGCTCTCCATTTCACTCAGAATAAAAGCCAAGTCCCTACAATGGCTTACAAAGCCCTTTATGATCTCTTCACCTCCTTTATGTCTTTGCACTCATCTCCTACTCTTCCCCTGCTCCTCCTTCCTCCCATTCAGTATCAGCCACACCAGCCTCCTCCTTGTTCCTCAAATACACCAGGCATGCTCCCATTTCAGAGCCCTTGTACCGACCCTTCTTCCTAGAATGTTCTTCCTTCTGATACCCACAGAAGAATTAGATAATTCTTTCACCTCCTTCTTCTCAAGTCTTTCCTTCTCAGTGAGGCCCATCCCGACCACCCTATTTAAAATCATACCCTACCACCCCACAAGATTCATAATCATTACCTTGTTCTACTTTTATCTTTTTTTCATAACACGTTTCATCTTGTAACATAATTTACTTATTTATTGTATTTATTGTTTATTGCTTTCTTCCCTTACTAGAATATGAACTCCATGGGAGTAGGGATTTTGGTCTGTTTTGTTCATCACTATTGCCCAGTGCATGACACATAGTAGGTGCTTAATAAAGACTTGGTAAGTGAATGAATCAGAAGTTCAAAGTGCTTGTTTTTCATTTACTCTGTTTTAGAGGACATACTCTGCTAGGTGAAAGCATTAGAGTTTGGTACAGGAGTGGGAGGCAAGCACTCCTTAACGGAAAATTTTGCTTCGCCGCTGGTTGCTGCTGTGCGCTCACCTAGCAATATAGCTCAACTTTTGATTCCATAAAAATAAAGTTTATTATGCCCGTAAGTCTCTGGGATGTTGTG